TTGTTTAGTCTGATAGGTGAGATCGCCACCAATAATCTAAAACAATTTTCACAACGATACCACCAACCATTCCGGAGATATTGCAAATCAGGCACTTCCACCAACAATTTCAAAATTTTGTTTGTTTAGTCTGATAGGTGAGATGGCCGCCAATAATATGAAACAATTTTCACAACGATACCGCCAACCATTCCGGAGATATTGCAAATCAGGCACTTCCACCAACAATTTCAAAATTTTGTTTGTTTAGTCTGATAGGTGAGATCGCCACCAATAATCTAAAACAATTTTCACAACGATACCACCAACCATTCCGGAGATATTGCAAATCAGGCACTTCCACCAACAATTTCAAAATTTTGTTTGTTTAGTCTGATAGGTGAGATCGCCACCAATAATCTAAAACAATTTTCACAACGATACCACCAACCATTCCGGAGATATTGCAAATCAGGCACTTCCACCAACAATTTTCAAAATTTTGTTTGTTTAGTCTGATAGGTGAGATCGCCACCAATAATCTAAAACAATTTTCACAACGATACCACCAACCATTCCGGAGATATTGCAAATCAGGCACTTCCACCAACAATTTTAAAATTTTGTTTGTTTAGTCTGATAGGTGAGATCGCCACCAATAATCTAAAACAATTTTCACAACGATACCACCAACCATTCCGGAGATATTGCAAATCAGGCACTTCCACCAACAAATTTCAAAATTTTGTTTGTTTAGTCTGATAGGTGAGATCGCCACCAATAATCTAAAACAATTTTCACAACGATACCACCAACCATTCCGGAGATATTGCAAATCAGGCACTTCCACCAACAATTTTAAAATTTTGTTTGTTTAGTCTGATAGGTGAGATCGCCACCAATAATCTAAAACAATTTTCACAACGATACCGCCAACGGTTGCGCAGAAATTGCAAAACAGGCACTTGCACCAACAATTTTAAAATTTTGTTTGTTTTGTCTGATAGGTGAGATGGCCGCCAATAATATGAAACAATTTTCACAACGATACCGCCAACGGTTGCGCAGAAATTGCAAAACAGGCACTTGCACCAACAATTTTAAAATTTTGTTTGTTTTGTCTGATAGGTGAGATGGCCGCCAATAATATGAAACAATTTTCACAACGATACCGCCAACGGTTGCGCAGAAATTGCAAAACAGGCACTTGCACCAACAATTTTAAAATTTTGTTTGTTGAGTCTGATAGGTGAGATCGCCACCAATAATCTAAAACAATTTTCACAACGATACCACCAACCATTCCGGAGATATTGCAAATCAGGCACTTCCACCAACAATTTTAAAATTTTGTTTGTTGTGTCTGATAGGTGAGATCGCCACCAATAATCTAAAACAATTTTCACAACGATACCACCAACCATTCCGGAGATATTGCAAATCAGGCACTTCCACCAACAATTTTAAAATTTTGTTTGTTTAGTCTGATAGGTGAGATCGCCACCAATAATCTAAAACAATTTTCACAACGATACCACCAACCATTCCGGAGATATTGCAAATCAGGCACTTCCACCAACAATTTTAAAATTTTGTTTGTTTCGTCTGATAGGTGAGATCGTCACCAATAATATGAAACAATATTCACAACGATACCAACAACCGTTTCGGACAAATTGCAAAACAGGCACTTGCACCAACAATTTTAAAATTTTGTTTGTTTTGTCTGATAGGTGAGATGGCCGCCAATAATATGAAACAATTTTCACAACGATACCGCCAACGGTTGCGCAGAAATTGCAAAACAGGCACTTGCACCAACAATTTTAAAATTTTGTTTGTTTTGTCTGATAGGTGAGATGGCCGCCAATAATCTGAAACAATTTTCACAACGATACCACCAACCATTCCGGAGATATTGCAAATCAGGCACTTGCACCAACAATTTTAAAATTTTGTTTGTTTTGTCTGATAGGTGAGATGGCCGCCAATAATATGAAACAATTTTCACAACGATACCGCCAACGGTTGCGCAGAAATTGCAAAACAGGCACTTGCACCAACAATTTTAAAATTTTGTTTGTTTAGTCTGATAGGTGAGATCGCCACCAATAATCTAAAACAATTTTCACAACGATACCACCAACCATTCCGGAGATATTGCAAATCAGGCACTTGCACCAACAATTTTAAAATTTTGTTTGTTTTGTCTGATAGGTGAGATGGCCGCCAATAATATGAAACAATTTTCACAACGATACCGCCAACGGTTGCGCAGAAATTGCAAAACAGGCACTTGCACCAACAATTTTAAAATTTTGTTTGTTTTGTCTGATAGGTGAGATGGCCGCCAATAATATGAAACAATTTTCACAACGATACCGCCAACGGTTGCGCAGAAATTGCAAAACAGGCACTTGCACCAACAATTTTAAAATTTTGTTTGTTTTGTCTGATAGGTGAGATGGCCGCCAATAATATGAAACAATTTTCACAACGATACCGCCAACGGTTGCGCAGAAATTGCAAAACAGGCACTTGCACCAACAATTTTAAAATTTTGTTTGTTTTGTCTGATAGGTGAGATGGCCGCCAATAATCTAAAACAATTTTCACAACGATACCACCAACCATTCCGGAGATATTGCAAATCAGGCACTTCCACCAACAATTTTAAAATTTTGTTTGTTTAGTCTGATAGGTGAGATCGTCCACCAATAATCTAAAACAATTTTCACAACGATACCACCAACCATTCCGGAGATATTGCAAATCAGGCACTTCCACCAACAATTTTAAAATTTTGTTTGTTTAGTCTGATAGGTGAGATCGCCACCAATAATCTAAAACAATTTTCACAACGATAGCACCTAGCGTTCAGGAGATTTCATTAATGACATTGGGATGAGTTTGCGAAATTGCTTGTTTACATTTCCGTTCTATATTTGTTTTGCAGTTTTAATTTTTTGAATTTAATCACCTTGTAATTTGATTTTCGTTATTCATTTGCTATAAATTCGTGGCCTACTTTAATCCATTAATTATTTGAAATACATGTTCCTGCTCATTTGTGTATATAGCATGAATATTTATTTATTGTTAACTCTCCACCCATTGGTCAATTTATTTGAAATTATGAAGTACAACATTTGTATGGATAATTATGTGACCGACAATTTGGATGAAAATCGAGCAATTTAACCACAGTTAAATGAATATAGTCGTGTATGCTACCTGTGATGACGGATATATGTAGTGTTTAGCACCAATCAGAAGGAGAATACCTGGCAGACGGAGAATAAGAAGACTGATTTTAAGAGAACAAGTAAAGGAACAGATTTCGTAACAACAGCAGAATTGAAAGAATCATCAAGCATGTTGAGAACAATTGAAGGGAAATGTGCAGATAACGTTTTGAATCTATGATCTTCATGTTATAAACGCACTCAATAATTTTTTGATGAACAATGAGCCGTTTTTCCACTCCTGAGTCTTTGTTCACTGAAGTGTTAGATAACAGTTTTTCAGTGGTTTTCAAACAATTTGTTCACTTGACAAAGGTTCTGAATAGCAATGTGTGATGGTTTTATGCAGAACATTTACTGCCGAAAGAAAACTAATCAATTTGTTGTATTGGCAGTTCAACGCTAAGTATGTACGATGTGAATTCTTTTGGTTTTTTATTAAATGAGTGTAGACATGTTAATAGACCACACTACAATATATACATCATAACTAAAAATATAATTAGCTGACATTTATGAGCTGATAAAATAAGAACAATTTTTTATGGTGAATCGCTAAATTATATTAATTTCCTCTAATAGGTTGACATTATTGAGTGAACGATTGGAAATGTTTTTCTTTCAATTTTCCACTGTGATGTATAATCGAATTTTTCATTGTAATAGGTTTAAAGTGATCGAGATCTCTTCTAACAAACTGAACATTACATGAAGATAGGATGTTGAATAATTTCTGACTTTCAACAGTTCCTTAATAACTATTATCAAAGATGATCAAATTCAATAAACCCTCATTAATACGTTGTGGTGAGTTCGCCTACATGTTTTATCAGGAAGGTGAAAGTGCAGGCCAGTAATTCAACCTCAATTTAGATAACTAAGTAGCACATCATCATAACAAACTTGTTTATTCATCTTAAACATTAAAAATAGTAATAATAATCCAAATAGAACAACAATAAATAAAACCAAACAAAATCGGAATACATATCATGGCTATCGCCATCATCAGCTATTCTTTTGCGGCGTTCTCAAGATATTCTCTACTTTATGATGTAACATATTCATTATTCAAAACGAATTAGAGCAGAGAATATGTAAATAAAGAGAGGCCATCACAGCTCAAATTTAACAAAAGAAGTAGAAAGGAAAGACAAAATAGAAAGTAGTTAACATGAACGAATGACAGGAACCGTTAGTAAAAGCAATCAGTTGAACATGGTCTAGCTTCAATTGGCTCATGATTTCAACTTGTGAAATTTCCAAAAAATCTCCACAAAACCCATTCTCATAATAATAATCACCTGCTCACTAGTGACTGACTTCATGAGACACTCCTGGAGTTCTAGTGGGAAGCCGTTACCAGTCGAGTTCAACCAGGTCTGTTGTGAGATAGTAACTCACTGAAGACAATGGTGGCGCAACTTCGTGGATTAGTTGAAGTTAGACATTAACACCGTTAGATGCCTGCTCAGTGGTCTAATGGTTAAGTGCTCGCGCGCGAAGCCAGTAGGTCCTGGGTTCGAATCCCGCGAGGGGCGGGTTCGCGGATGCGCACTGCTGAGGAGTCTCATACTAGGACGAAACGGCCGTCCAGTGCTTCCAGGTTTTCCATGGTGGTCTAGCTTCAATTGGCTCATGATTTCAACTTGTGAAATTTCCAAAAAATCTCCACAAAACCCATTCTGATTAGATTTCAGTTTGAACAATAGATCACCTTATATACTTCTAGCGAATAAATACAAGTAATCACGACAATGAAAAGCTAGTGGATTTTAATGTATGTCTATCAACTTTATTACCAAATTTCTTTTAAAATATCATAATAAAGAGGACAAAACAAGTGAAAAGCAGTCTAGATAATCGTGGGAAAAAATGCAATATAACAGTGGTAGCTGAATTCTTAAGGTCAAGTTATTTACGTTCACAAGGTTCATGTGCACATACACACACATACGCATGTATTTGGACGAATATAGTTCCAATATAACTTGGCAACTAAGCTTGGTTCTGATTAAAGGTGGAACATATAACAATCAATTAGTCCGGCGCTTAATGTCATATGAACTAAAACATGCAACTAATATTTAGACCAAGTTCATAAGAAAAATTAACACTTGTTTAAGCCAACATATAAAGACAAAGAATTTAATACATTTATATGGTCATTTATCGATAGAATATTGACGATGGATGTCTAAGACAAATGCACAGTAGATGAAAGTTTGTTGGAAATGATGAGGAAAATGAAAGGAAAGCAATAATGACAACAATAATCACTGTGTAAAAGGACGATAATAAAGAAAGGCAAAGTCAGGAAAATGATTATTACAAGTGTAAACTAATATGTTCAATATATGATACTTTCTCGATAAGTATTATGTTTAATTAAAAATTATGATTAAGCGAAAATAACGGTGGTGCAGTGAGTTGTTAATTTGATAAATAACAGTGAAGAACGACAACAAACACACGTATATGAAAATATCTATTAAAGGATTTTGTATTTGTAGTAAAGTAAAAATTCAGATCATAATTTTTGAAATTTTCTAAATTGTCCCATTGATCAAGTGACCAGAGACTAAGACGCTATAATTGACCAAATTATTATGAATAGTACACGGGCCATTAGTAGCACAAACAAACAGGTAAGACATATTTTTTCAGTGAAATTATGTCGATAACCATCCCTTCCTCTTAACTATTTCGACGGCTTACCAATAAGTAGGTTTTCATATTACCTTTACCCTTGACAAACACTTCATCGCGGTATTCAAATATGTAACGTGATTCTAAGCGTTTAGCAACAGCCTCAGTAACTTGTATTCTACCTTTTAAACCTGTTGAATACATACGACTAGCCACATTGACAGTATCACCCCATATATCATATAATAGTTTTGTAGTACCAATAACACCAGCTGTCACTTCACCAATATTATAACCAACTTTTAGCTCAAATTGAAAATTGAACATTTGGCGATTGAAATCATCTAGTGTATGAATTAAATCCAAAGCAAAATCAAGTAATGCCCACAAATGTTCATCTGATCGTTTATTGCGTTTACGTTCAGTCATATTTAATCCAGAAGCAGCCATAAAACATGAACCGATTGTTTTGATTTTCTCGACGTCTTTATATTTTGATAAGGCGAGTTGATGCTCAAAATCAGCAAATATTTCATTCATAACACGTAACATCTCTTGACCACCTTGGTATTGTTCGTCATAAAACTCAGAGAAATTCGCAATACATGCAAAAACAACACCAGCATCTTCAATATGTCGAGAGTATTTATTATGCTGACGTAAATCATTCATTATATAATATGGAATAATGTTCTCCAATAGCCAATCAGCTTGCAATTTTTGATGACCGATAGCTTCCTTAGCTCGTAGAGCTTCATAATCTCGATGAAAACTTAATCGGAAATTAATATCAAACTCACGATTCAATGCACCGACTAGAATCAAAGTAAGTAATCCAATCACGATATACTCATACACGGCATTATCAGACATGGCTGGATATGACCAATCAGGAAACTCAAATAACAACGATGAATTTCGATTTTCTAGTCGTTCTTCAACAATTGCTGGACTATTAAAACTATATTTTATTGCCGAATACCACGACTGAGCATGCTGTGGCGAACACGTGTACTGAAGTGTTCTATGTAAGGATATCAGTAGTATACCCAATGAACAGACGAATGTAGCTGAAATAGTTTTCGTCCAAGAGGAAAACGATGTGTACAATGTACAGTTAATAAACATAAAAGTGAACAACAAACCAACCTGTGTACGATAAGTAGCATAAAACATGTGAGAATAATAATAGGTGTCTTTATGATTTGATGACGCATCGAGTGTTATTAAAGGTGTATATTTATTAAATAAACAATAAGAATAGGCCGACAAAACGACAGATGTTGGTAAGATCAAAATAAAAACACCAATCACATTACGTGAATTCCAACGAAACAGCTTCCCATATAGCCGAATCACTATACGTCGCCAATCATAACGGCTACTAGTTTTCAACATGGACTTACTACTACTATTGCAACGTCTTGGACACCAGGCCCATGCAGCCAAATCGGAAATTAACAATGTCAATAATAGTGTATGTATCATGAAGGCGATAAATAGAATAATATAAAAACTTGGCGTATTCACTGCTTTTCGAGCATCTGGAAAAACAATTAAACATGTTATAGCAATAACGAAAATCAATATTGTCTCTGTAATTGTATTAATAAATGGAGCGATACGTGGTGTGGACCATGATAATTTCTCAATAGAGTGAGTTCTTGGACGTCGTAAACCTAAACGTCGATAACTTTTCTCAACCATGGGAACAAAGAAATTCAAACTTAATCTGGATATTGGTGGAAAAATGAAAATTTCATCAGGTTGAACAAAATCTTGTAATGCCTGCAACATTTCCACATCAGAACCGCGACTACTAGCATACGAAGTAGTTATAGTAGTAGTAGTTGTTGTTGTTGTAGCAGTATGCGGTATAGTTATGTTCTTATTATCCATAGAAAGACGATTTTCTGTTAAGACTGTTGAAACCGATTGTGGGAGTTGACTGCTATCCACCAGCTTCTTATTATCTCCACCATTATGTTGTGTAATGCCGTCAGGTTTCTTAGCGACATTATTAGTACTTTCGTTATTCACAAGTGGATGACATGAGGTAAGAGTGTTGTGAATCTCCGTGGTTGATGAAATACTAGTATTCATTGCTGTTGGGATAACTGCGTCAATATTCCGTGATTCATCATGCAGATTATTATTTGTGGTAACAGTTTCACTATCGCAAACATTATTAATCTAAAAAAAAAATGATAGTTGTACAGAAATTTATTCGGCTGGAAAACAGTTTTATGACGACTTCGCAAAAATAGTAAACCTATGAAAAATACCTCATATCTGTAAACAATAACGGCCTAGAAGTTAGAGCATTCAGTTCCCATCTAGTTCCATTTAGGCAGCTATACATATACAACAATCAGCGACGACCAGATATAAAAATTGGCGACGAAGTAAAAAATATATTACGATCCAAAGTCAGTCTGTGATTGGACAAAATTCAGTCAAATTATTTCAAGCAATCACCATCCAGATTTGTCATCGGTGTCCTTGAACGACATTGGTCATTATTCATGCAGTAATTTTCATTACCGGTGCTGATTCAGAAAATGACTCTCCCTTCCGATCGATGACAGCTACTATTTGAGCGACAGTTGGCGTTCTTAGTGAAATTACGCACACAGCTGCTGAATCACTCACGTTTTGGAGATGCGACGGAAGTGAATGGATTAATTTCTCAATTGCACACTGAGCAGGGAAATGATTGCAGCCTTCATGAATCCTTGGCAAACAGTAACTTAAACAAAACGGTAGTCATTCAATATCCACCCAGTGGTACAGTACTGCCCATTTCAGAAACATGCCCGGTAATGGATTTAAATCCCACTGCCCCCGAAACATAATATACAAACACGGACGTATCCAGCTCATAAAAAGATTTCCTGTTTAATGTTCATGGAATTGTCGCAGTACCGCCCACGAAACAGAAAACAAATCGTGCAGTATACTGAATGCAGCTGCACCTAATAAAGCTCATCATTTTCTGGCAAAACAAGAGAATCTCGATAATAAGATTCGTCAGGAACTTGTGAAATGGTTACTTAAGAGTAACAGACGTTCCGTAATTGAGCTTTTCACGTAAACCGAATTCTATAAACAAACGATATGGTTAGCTAGTAAATCAGCTGATTCACGTTGCCACAAGTTATTTTGAGTAATCGCGTATTCAGCCACATCAGTAATTTGATCTAAAACTGATTTCCGACAGTCACGATTGCTAAAGGACAATTCTACATTTTTATAATTCAATAGACATGGCAAACGTTTAAAGATGCTTGATCAACCTATAACATGCGTCTGTGAATCATTTGCCAAGTAAAAGTTTTCGTACTGGTACTACTAGCCATCCTAAACTGGAATTGGAATCTAGTTCAAACGTTACACCTGTAGATTGGAGTTGGATTACCTTAATTACTAAACCATAGATGAACCAGAATCAAAATGGATACTATTAAAAACGATAATTCATCACCTGAACTAATATTATTAAGATTTATGTAAATAAGATCTCACAAATTCGTTTAGGGTATATGGTATAAATTCAGTAGTAATAATGCTTGTTCTGACTGTTTACTGAGAAAACATTTTCAACCTTACAAAATGTTTACTAAAATCAACACCCAATGTTCGCTTATCTTGGAAGTCTGATCAGCCCTAATGGGTTGGTGTCTGACGAAATCTCAGCACGGATTCGAAAAGCTCGTTTGGCTTTTGCCAACTTGCGTCACCTTTGGCGAAGGCAAGATATCCGTCTATCAATAAAAGGACGAGTATACTGCGCGGCAGTCCGTTCTGTTTTAATTTACGGCAGCGAAACATGGCCATTAAAAGTAGAAGACACTCGTGCCTCAGAAATATTACTGGCGTTTGCTGGGATCACCGGGTAAGTAATAGTGAGGTTAGACGCAGGGTATTAGGGAATGATGGCAAATCAGTTGAAGTTGTGAATTTTCATCGACTGAGATGGTTGGGCAACGTATTACGTATGCCTGAACACCGATTACCACGACGTGCAATGCTAACCGGTGTTGGAGATGGTTGGAAGAAAGTTAAGGGCGCCAAACCAAAACATGGCATCAGTGCTTGAAGACACTAACTTCTAGTCTCAGCCATGTTGGAAGATGCAGACTACTTGGTTGGGGTCAGCATGACTATCGTAACCAATGGTTGGAGACTCTTGGTGACATGGCTTAGAATCGATCACAATGGCGTCGGTGTATACACTCACCGTCCTCCCTTAAACTATGAGATTAAAATCACGTCATATCTTTCTTTCTACGAACTAATTCTTTCTTCCTGTACTATATCCTTATTGCAATCTTTCTTTTATATATTACCACCACTGAATTAACTATTTCTATGAATCCGATGTTTATCTTGCTGTGCTAATGCGGTGGACCGATGCATATATGTGCCTGATCGTACGTTGTAGCTGACTGACTGTTCGGACTCAAAACTGAGGATAGAAGGTAAACATATTGGCTGACCAGAAGAAACTAAGATTATATCGGCATTAACTCAAGTTTAATCTTGCCAGTCAAAGTGTATACTTGGTCAAAGCTTAGAACACTAGTCTGCATACGAAATAGAACACGCAAGGTAAAGAAATTATAATCGGGATTATAAGTGGCGAATCATCATTAGATGTCGAAAAACTTGTGGTCATAACAATATCAACGAGATAAAGAAACTAAAAACAGTATTTTATTTCGATTTTCATCTGAACATGAAACTAAAAGGGTTTTGGAAAATCGGGACACATTGTTTAATGAACGATTATTTAAATACAGTAAACCAATTTATTGTTTTACGTAAAATCGCACAACGTCTTAGTAGAATATGAAAATCATACAGTAAATGCATCATTTGCATATATTCCTTCACTTGTTTTTGATATAATGCAACAGTCTAATACTGCTGTTATTTCGATTGCTCTCCATTTTCCATCCTGTTCTTCTGCTGGTAAGTATTCCACTTCCTTTTCCTGCTACATACTACTTATGTGAAGCATCAAGAGATGTTTGAACAGTCCCATACCAGAATCATGGAAGCCCTGATGCAGAAATTGTGCCTATCCCAGCAAAACCTTGCTTCTGATGAATCACAAGTATCCCATACTGATTCATTTCATTAACTCCATCCATGAATTTAATTTTGATGGTGTAGCAGGTGTAACTTTCGATTCTTGGTTTAAGAAATATGAAGATTTGTTCTGTATTGATCTCTGACGACTGGATAACGCTTCAAAGTCAGAATACTTTTAAGAAAACTTGGGACGATGGAACATGGACGCTATAGTAACTTCATTTTCCCGAAGAATCCACAGGACTTTAGTTTTGATGAAACAATTAAAACCCTGTCTCAAACATTTGGAGAACAGTCATCTCTACTTAATATCCGTTACCAATCCTTGAAGATAACGAAAGAACCAGGAGATGATTGAGTGGAACATGCAGGAATTGTGAACCGAGACATTGAAGCGTTCAAGTTGTCTACTATGACTGAAGACGAGTTTATATGCCTAGTTTTTATCTGTAGCTTGCGTTCACCCGAAGATGCTGATATCAGAACTGTCCTAACATGACCCTGAGTGAAGTAGATACCGAATGCAAAAGGTTAGTGCATTTGAAGCATGATACTCCGATGGTAGAGAACGGTAACCCGTTCATTCACGTCAATGCAGTCGAGAGGAAAGTTTTACAAGGTTCCAGCGCGCAGAATTATTGAAATGACAGAAACAAACCATCATCCTCACACTAGTTATGTGGAGTTTGGCTTTCCAAAAGATTTTGTCCTTCTAAAAATCATCGTTGTAATACGTGTTCTACAAAAGGGCACAAAGAAAGTCATTGCAAAACCCGGAAACGCCGTCAATAGAAAGTGTGTTCTAAAAGATTCAAGCCACGAATAGCTAAAGTAACGGTGGCTTTTCACAAGGCCGGCTCATATAACCGTAGAAAGTATGTTTCTCTCTAGATTAATGGGTGTGATGCCCGCTTACAGTTAGATACAGCCTCTGATATAACACTTATAAGCAGGAGAATGTTGGAGAAAATTGGTAGACGAAAATATATTCAACTCATCAATCAGCACAGAGTGCATCTGGGGGAATTCTAAATATTGCTGGTGAAATCAGTCGGAGAGTTTACGAAGAAGGGTGTAATATTTTTGACAGGACGTTCATCACTCGACTTATTAGGGTTTGATTGGATTGAAAGGTTGAAGCTAACAGACCGGCCCATAAACTCGGTCAGCAACAACGTCGATACGTCGGAAGTTGAGAAGGACATATTCAAAAAAAGCACTACCGAAAGGGGAAGGAGAGGACACAAGTCAGATAATTACGAAATTCTTAACGGCTTATCGAACTACGCTTAACCCTATCGTCCCAGATGGGAAATCCCCTGATGAAGCGATGTTCGTGAGAAGCATCCGAACTATATTCGACGTCATGTTACCACCCAAACCAGATAAAATCAGAATATCCGGAGTTTTAACGTAGGTGATAAAGTGCTTGTCAAATCATACATTGGGAAAAAATCGTTGGGAACCGGGAGTCGTTGAGAAGAGAATGGGAAATGTCTTATACAAAGTGCATGGGACTTTCGGAACGTGAATTAGATACATTAATCAAATACACAGAGAGAAAAGGACTCTAGACAAGGTAGATAGTCGAGTGAGGCTTCCGCTATATATAATTACAGATACTCCAATGACAGGAACCCCAACAGACACTCATAGACTCTGGATACCAAGAAAGTCCGAACGCCGCAGAAAACCAGTTATCAAGCTGCAAGTAGACCCGAAGAAGAGGTCTTATTATTTAAAGGGGGGGTGTTGGAGTGATCGAGAAAATTTCTCGCAAAAGACAAGAAATGCTCAGGAAACACTAAGGAGCATTTTATCTATTCAGCGTTTACTAGAAGTTTAGTCAGAAACATTAAGAAAGAGAAAAGTCACATGCAGAGTTTTTGATTGGCCGATTACTATACTGCTACTATGTAGTAGCATACCAGAATTTTCGGGAAACCCAAGGACACCTCAAATATTATAAAAACCTTATATTTTCTGTACTAAAACGAACCTTCTCGCATATTTTGCGCCTTTTCTCTCGTGCTCAGGTCGCTGTGTAGTTCCAGCTTGGGGGTCACGAGAATAACGTAGGAATTGAATATAGCGTTCAATTAGCAAGACTTATCAACGACTGGGAAAAAACTAATCTGACCGACTGAACTATAAGCTTCACACATTATTCAATAGAAAATGAAGCGTTATTGAATAGTTGCTTGTTTCATAATCAAGAACTGATCAATCGCCATTCATTTCCCCACTATATTATAATGTAAAGACCATGAATATATACAGTTTGAATACACAAAACATCAAATAACAACCTACACTTTGTAATTGAACTGGACCAACTTCCAGTTGCATCTACAACGGGAGAAAATAAGATTAAGAAAGCCACTATTATTTAACTAACATCATTTTGATTTCCTTTAGCGAAAACAATAAAAACATTACAGAAACATATTTGTACGTAATAAGCGGATTTTTACTGAGTAAACGTAAACTACAAGTCGAAACACTGTTGGACAAGCATGGATCAGCGCCAATGGTGGTTAATATATTTATTTAATGTTTCACTAGTGAATAGCCGTTTCCAACTCTGGAATTTTAGACACAATAAGGTATTTATTAGTAGGCTAAAGAAATGGTCATTTGAAACCAAATGCACATGCAAATTTTCTGTAATATTTCCCAGAGAGAGTGATATAGATTTACAATTTTTAAAAAATGTTGAATGTTTGCATATAATAGGATTTTAAGAAGTAGTAACAGTAAGACAGGAAAAGTGATTAAGATAACAGAATATGAAACATTTGCAAATCAATCTGGTGCATTTACATTTAGTTGATTACCAAATATTGAGTAACTATATTTAACTTAAAGTTTCAGATGTCTTTCATATTACAATGAATCATGGATTACATTTGTTTGCAGCCATGTGGGCTTTAGTTAATGACACATAATAATGAGAATATTTATCCAGTGATTAATAATAACCCAGGTATTAAGTTCATTTGATACGACTAACGTAACCGAGGTAACATTACTACAATGATTACAATAATGCACTTATGTGTGCTTGGAAATGACATTGAGAACACCATTGCAAATGGACGGTAAAGTAAAGGTTATGGAAGTAGATGAGACAGATATTCAAAAGAAGAATTACAATAAAAAAAGGAACTTAAGATTAAATAAATCTTTTTCGATAGCGTTCCTCACTGTAAACTACCCATCACTTCTTGCATGTTTTGTTCTAGAAAATAATAATGCCACTAATTGTGTAGGATTATTTTATGTGAACAGTCCCTGTTACTAACCAACTAATTGATCAAAAAATGATATATGTCATAAATATTTTATTCTGTGTCATATTGTCATAAGGACAGATGTAAGCGAATGAAAAGGTGGTCACTATAAAATATACGGCAGTGAAATGAACGACAACACAATACAACTGGTGTCTGTTGAATCATAGCAATTCTCCGATTGTGTTTTTAGGAATCATGTAATTCTGTGTCTTGAGACGTCATTACTTTTGAAGATGGATAGTGGCTAGCAGTGGAATCCAGGACGAGCGTTTCGTCCTGTTTGGGACTCGTCAGCTGGATGTACCTGCATCTCAGTCCAAAAACATCAATGGGAAGATTCAAATAAAACAATATCAAGTGAGTCATTACTTTTTGTTCAGAAGAGAAACTAATGATGATCAAACTCCTCATATGGGTAACACAAACCTTATATTTCTTAGATGTATTTATAGATGAACAACGGTGTTTAACAATGTTATTGAGCCCATTCGGTTATTGATATGACATTTGCCTCTTAAATTTATTTACAATATATTGATAATATTTTGTGAGTATCACTCTTGTGGTTTCCTGTGTTATCAGTGTTACCTGTGTAACAAATAAACTAAAAGACTAGTTAGAATTATGATTTCTTGATTAAATATTCAACAAATTTCCCATTAGCAATCTGATGAAATGGGCATATATTGTAGGAAGACAATTATAGTTCAATAATCAAAACATTCGACTTTTATTAATGAGATGGAAGTTGTAAGAATAATTTAACAATAGCTCAAAAATTACACTGATTGACCACCGAATAGCAATGCACAGTTATTCGTGCAAAATCAATTCTCTAGACGAAGTTGCAATACATATACTAGTGTAAGTCACTGAACAATACCTGCACTGTGCACTGATATTAAGTCTCATTCTACGATCGGCAGTAAGCACAAAAATGACAACGGCTACTATTCAGTGGTCCCCAAAGGCCCTGGGATGGCCGAGAGCGGGGTGGGCTCGCCCTCCCTCTCGAAATGCCTTCAGACGGCAACACGTATACATCCTCTGCCAGGGAAGTCCTACTCAATGCCTTCTCGTGGCGGGGTGTTGTCTACGAAAATGAGAAGACAAAAAGCGAATATTGGCACTTTAACCGGATCCCAAATCAATGGTGTACAATAGGTTTCAGTATCCTGCGGGAACAAATGGCGTATGAACCAATTTCTTGGTCACCGGCAACCACGGGACTGCATCTCCTTACGATGCTCCACTGGCTTGTGGGTTAGACCTTTAGGTCAAAGGCTCGGGGCGTAGCCCCCTACGAAAACCACTTGCTTCGGTCTAAGCACCCGGGCAGTATCACAGCCAACAAAAAAAATGATGAACTGTCGTCTATTTATGGAAAATATTCTTCTTGCTCCGAATAACAATCAAATGACTCACATTATTATTATTATTACTATTATTGTTATTATTATCATTATTATTATTATTTACTACGTCATTTATTCACCCTCTTTTAGTCCCACTCTGTTGATACTTATTTTTCGACTTATACAGCAGCTCGCCTATAGTGGAAATTTCGCTCTATCTAAACGTTCTCGAGTCACCGCCTGGTTAAAAATTGTATGCTACCACCGAATACGAGTACTGAAGCACTTTTTCTGAAACCACGTGCACCAATCAAACTGGCTCCCTTTAACGTTCGCACACTTATGCAGGTCGGACAACAGATAGGTCTGGTTATGTCTTTGGAAAGTCTTAATATTGACGTTTGTTGTCTATCCAAGACCCGTGTTCACTTGTTGGTCGCAGGACACATAACGGGGATCGTCTACTGCAACTGTGCACAGACCACAACCTGTTTCTGGCTAGCACTAACTTTCGGCACAATCATCGCCGATGTGCCACATGGCGTCCTCCCTCTGCATCTCAAGCCTGGACTCAGATTGATCACATCACGATCAGCTACCTCTGGTGTGGTTGTGTACAAGACTGCCGCTCCTTTTGGAGTACCTATCTGGACTCTGATTATACCCTGGTCTGCGCCAACCTTACCTTACTTTTCAGTAGCCAACGAAGTGACCGCCACCAAAGGATTGATTTTAGCAACTTGGTTGCAGCTTCTGTTGCTAGCAAGTATCGAACCGAGCTAGCTTCTAGGCTAGCTACCATTCCACCGAAAAGTATAGATGAGCATTGGTTGCAATTGCATGACGCCATGAAAATGGCGAGTGCAGTCGCTTGCGGCTTCGAGAAACGTCCCACTTACAAGCACTGGGTTTCTTCAGGGTTACCAAATCTCACCATTCCTCCTCAACTTTGCCATCGACGACATTCTGGAAACAGCTCTGATGAATGTAAGTAATGGTGGTGTGGATCTGTTGCCTGGAGAAAGACTTCTCGACCTTAAGTATGCGGACGATATTGTCTTACTGCGCGATAATGCCCAAGGCATGGAATCCGCACTTAATCAGTTGGCAATCAGTGTCCGTAGGTATGGTATGTGCTTTGCACCTTCGAAGTGCAAAGTACTCCTACAAGACTGGCAGGATTCCAATCCTGTACTCACCCTGGATGGTGAGCAGATAGAAGTAATCGAGAAGTTCGTGTATCTAGGTAGCTGCATAAGTGCTGGTGGGGGTGTGATTGATGAGATCAATGCACGTATAGTGAAAGCCAGAGCGGCTTATGCCAATCTGGGCCATCTTTGTCGCCTTCGTGATGTTAGTCTGGCCGTAAAAGGTCGGATCTACAACGCGTCGGTGAGACCAGTTTTGCTCTATGCTTGTGAAACCTGGCCTCTCCGAGTTGAGGACGTTAGACGACTCTCAGTGTTCGATCATCGCTGTCTCCGAAGGATTCCTGACATCCAGTGGCAACACCATGTCAGTAATGCAGAGGTTCGGCATCGTGTGTTCGGACACAGACGCGATAATGCAATTGGTGTCACCATCTTGAAACACCGACTTCGGTGGCCTGGGCATGTTCTCCGAATGTCGTCCCAGAGAATTCCACGTCGTGCATTATTTGCCGACTCTGGGACTGGTTGGAAGAAGCGGAGAGGTGGTCAGTGCATGACATGGTGTCGTGGCATGAAAGAAAGCTGCAAAGGGCTGGCTTATGTTGGTCCTTCACGACTCCCTGGTTGGGGTCCTACAGATGGTGCAACACAGTGGCTAGAGACGTTATCAGATATGGCTCAGAATAGAAGCCAGTGGCGATTTTACTTTTTTCGTAAAAAGTGGTTGCTTCTTCCTTAACTGAATGATTTCTTCTGATTGTGCCTTTCTGTTTCCCTCGTTATTGTTATTACACTACCTTACACTAATCTGCTCGTTATTTTCTCTTTTTTTACGCTCCTTACCTTTTTTTAATTCTCTTTAAATTCTCATTGTTTTATGTGGCGCATATATATTTGCTGCCCTCTTGTACCAATATTTATGTGTTCAAATAAATAAATAATAGAGCCAACCAAAACATCAGCTGTGACCCGGATACCTTAGCAGTGTGAGATCAGTTCCGAGACAACTGCTGATACGCTTTGGTGACAAACCTGGATGAAACCTAAGTCGATGAAATCGTTTAAATTGCCTTTCACACAAGCACATACTTTAAGATATGATTACATAGAAGAGCTGAGGCCTCAGTGGTCAAAGTACTCAAGCTCCAATTAGTAGGTTGAAGGTACGAAAAACCTCGTCCCACTTCGGTTTAGATAATAAGATAATACTGATATACCTTACACAATAATTATGATTTAAGGGTGAGGACATAAATTTCCATTATAGTTAACAAATTAAATTAATCTATCTATCGATTATACAGTATAGCGGTTTGTGAAGAATGAAAAAAGGTATAAAATCTATGATATCAAACTAGATTACACCGATATTAAAAAGTAAAAATAACACAACATTTGAAAAGAAAGATACAATATACTTCACTTACAGGTGGCAAACTGACAACTGGCTTATCATCCAAACGTTTTTCAATAAAATATGTTTTGATCACTACAGATACCCAATGGAAAAGGGAAAATAAAACAATAGAAAAAGTCATTTTGGACACACATATGTAATTGCATATATAATTAATAAATAAAAAAACAAAGCAGATAGTCAAAGTTATTTAAGTATAAGTCAGTAAACAAGTAGATGTTTGAGAATCATTCAGTTGGTCAAACTAAAATAGGTGAGGTGAGGTTTACACTTGCAACCTATTAATTCAAAGGTAGATGAATTTATTAACTGACCGTCATTTTTCCACAAAACCAGAGTAACGTGCTCGCTTCCTATGATACTAAGAGTTCCACGAGTTCTTCATAGCATAATATAAGGCTAACACAAGTAAATCCATCTTTTTGAATTTATCAAGTGTGATTGTTGAAGATGCCTTCTTTGAAGCAATTGAGTAGGAATCGAATGTTCATTTGATTTTTCTACTTATCACATTCTTATCATGATGCTGAGTTAAATTCAGTGCTAATGAAATAATTGTGTAATACTATTTAAACGTAGTGAGAAAAACATACAACAAAAACGATCACTTTGCAGTTATTGTTGTCAATCATGAATCATGCACAAATAATCCTTCTCATCAAACACCCGACATGTTATAGATACGTCCATATACTAACTTTGACTTCAGTAAAGTGAATGAGATACCTTTTTTCCTCTTTTTCCCTGCCCCGCTAACGAGATTAAGAAATTCAGTTTTATAACGGAAGCTCCGCTAATGATCACCTCAGTAGAACCAAAAAATAGATTTAGGGCAATCAGTTATATATTGATAACAACGATTCAAATTCATGAACTGAATTATTATCACGAAACACGAACCATAATAAAAATGTGTTTAAAGTGAATCATGAATTAACTTTAAATTGATATTGATTTCCTTCCTTATAAGTTAGAATTAGGGATTGTGATTCCACTAAGCTATTGAGTTTAGATAGCCACTTTTTTAAGTGATTAGGTCCCTAAAGCGAAAGATACCATATCCAAGTCCTTATATGAAGATCAATAAAGGGATGCACGTACATTTAGCTTGCTAGTCCCAAATAGGATGAAATGAGTGCTCTGTATTATTCTGCCAGCCACAGTTATCCTATTCTATAGAAATTGTGACAAAATAGCTATTTTGAGGCAACCCGTATACGATGCATGCGTGCCGACAAAGACTGACCAAAATAATTAGTAGATTACCAATAATAATAATAAATATAATTATATGAACAAAGAATATTCTTTTCAATAATTTCTCATCAGATTCAACAATTATAAATCCAAATTAATAATCCATAAAATTGGCCAGATTTAAAGCAGAGTACATCATTTAAAATTGTAATATGTGAATCAAGAATTGTTGTTTGTCATATAAAATCAAATCAAATCGTTAATGTTGGAGCTGACTAATATAAAGTGTTAACTTGAATCAGTTTATAAGTGAAATGAAATTGTGCGATAAAGGATTAGAATAAATATGGTCAACATGGCGTGAGAGAGAGAATAATGTAATTGCAAATCACAAATTACGTAATATGTAGAATAATATGAATTATGTCAGATATAGTAGATAGGGATGGACGCTGAATACATTTATTATTACACTTGACAACCTTTTTGAGAAATTAGCCGTAAATCTGACCAATTTTATGGATTATAATTTTGGATTCATAATTGTAGAATCTGACGAGAAATTTTTGAAAAGAATATTCTTCGTTCATATAATTGTAATTTAATATAACGGGAATTTTTTAGCGAATAATAATAAATAATCCGAAAAGTGGTTTAGAAGATTTCAACTTTTCCAATATTCGTTCAGTTACAAGAATTAGTGTTCGACAATGATGCTGATCCTGGTTGTTTCAAAAGGCACTACTAGTTGTAAGGACTTCATCTAACATCATAGCCATATGCAAGGCATAAATGACGCAAGACACTTCTCTTCACTGAAATAATTACCTCAGAAGTAGTCTCACGTTCATCTATCTCTACTTCCGTTCAAATATACTATTTTCTGAAACATTGTCACTTTATCTGTTTTCCGGATATCATACTTAGAGCATTTTGACGTCAACATCGTCTGATTCTCTCTTACCTAGGAGTAACGTCAGAGTGCAATCACAAACTCCTGTCAGTCTTTTCAATAGTCCTGAAAAACAAATCTAAAACTTATAAACGATGATTAAGTGAGATTTCAACGGCGTGTATATTAGTTGAATATTTGACGGTGAGAAAACATTTAGCCAAACAACAGTTCGGAACTAACCTTAAACAGACATCCAATTTAAAAAATGAAATACAAACTAAACTAATGAATAATTAGATAACGATTCTATACTACTGAAATATATATCAACATCAGAGTGGTAAGAATCGGATTTTAAGATGGAAATACATATTAAGGGTATTATTTTGAATTCGCCAATAATTTTTTACTGAATTATTAAATTTATAATAATAAAAACCATGCATCATCCAGGAGTCAACCATACAAGGATACGATGAATGAAGGAGACACATTCGGGACCTTACCTAACCATAGTGAACAAACTAATTAAGCGGTATAAAACATCAGGCTGTCTATTAAGGATAATAACCTCAAATAAAATTTATTATGGAAAAACTGAATACTATTGGTGCACAGATGATGATTAGGACTTTTTTTTAGGATAAATTATTCCTTGGTCGTTTGGATTAATTTTAAAGATTGGTGTTAATTTCGACATTCTTTCTAATGTGCCCTGACATCAGAGGGTGTATTATTTAAAACGTATTATATGAATCTAATTAAGAATTTTGTCTTTACTTTTGTATAGTCAAATGCTAACTTTCATGTGTGTACGCCTATAAATAATGCATGTGAACCTTTGTATGTTGTTTTTCAACGTACACACATAATGACAATTCCGATATTCAGTTATGTATTTATTGGGGAGATCCAGGAAAATTCATCGCAAAAAAGCCAAGAAAGGTTCAGAAAACACTGAGAAGCATCTTATCGAATAAGCGTTCATTAATAGTTTTGCCAGAAACATCTAAAAAGTGAAAAGTCGCATGTCGAGTTACTGATTGGATGAGTACTTATACTGCTACTATGTTTAGTAGCATTCCAGAATTTTCCGCAAAACCCAGAGACATTTAAAATACCATAAAATCCCTAAATTTTCTGAACACAAAGAAACCATATTTCGCGCCTTTTCTCTAGTGTTCAAGTCGCTGTGTCGATCCAGCCTGGGGGTTACTAGAAGAGCTTACAAACCGAATCTAGCGTTCAGTTAGAAGACTTATCAGTAGCGACGGGGAAAACTACAATGAATATTTCTTTGGAGCAAATAGAAACTTATATGGAGCGTCAAGAGAAGCGGTTTGATTAGTTACCATTCAGAATCATGGAAGCCGTGATGCAGAAATTGTGCCTGCTGCTGGCGAATTACAAGCACCTCATACTGATTCAGTCATTAATGCAATCCATGAATTTAATTTTGGTGTAGTAGGTGTTACTTCTGACTCTTGGTTTAAGAAATATGAAGATTTGTTCTGTATTGATCTCTGAAGACTGGATAACGCTTCAAAGTCAGAATACTTTTAAGAAAACTTGTGACGATGGGACATAATTCTCCCTAAGAACCCACGAGACGTTTGATGAAACAATTAAAACCCTGTCTCAAATATTTGGAGAACTTACTTAGTTACTTACGCCTGTTACTCCTCGTGAAGGAGCATAGGTCGCTCAATTTGGAGAACAGTCATCTCTATTTAGTATCCGTTACCAATCCTTGAAGATAACGAAAGAACCAGATGACTGGGAGAAACATGCAGGAATTGTGAACCGAGACATTGAGGTGTTCAAGTGGTCTTCCATGACAGATGACTAGTTTAAATGCCTAGTATTTGTCTGTAGCCCATTGTTCACAAAAAATTAAAAGGAGTGATGGGCCATGCTACAATTGCATAAGACATCAATCCTAGAATCTTGAGGTCTGTCTAGCCGATAAACGCATTACCTGCAAATGATTTAGTAAGAATCAAAAGGTATACACACAATTACAACTTCAGTCAGTTGGCAATAATTTGTGATGATTATCTAATATCATAGGTTATATATTATATCTCAATTCTGGCACACATGAACGTTTTCCTGAGAAGACATTGCTTTCATAGAGTTGAGATGACTGTCCAGTTATTTCTTGGTTTTTGGAGTTGTTCTCTAGCAATTCATATACCAAAAAATTAGTTAGTAGAACAGGGAAAAGAGAAAGTGTCTTGTGAAAACAATATTAATTTTACTTACTAGCTTCATCTTGAGTATGTTTAATGGCGAAACATTGTTCTTCTTTATTAAAAAATTCAACTAACACTTTGAATTTTCGAATATCTATGGAAAATGAAAAAGGGGAATAGATTATATTTACGAAAATAGTCAACATTTATTGAACAACCATCATCCGAATTGAAATATGATTAGCATAAAAAAATTAATTTCTGTCTAATTTACATTCAAAATAGCAAAAAACACAAACGTTTTGAAATGTCAGTAACTATAATCGATCTCGAAACGTGAAAGTTTTCTACCAGTTCTGCTGCTACAACTAATTTTTTCGACCCATCATATTTAAAAAATAGTACAGTCATCTCGTGTTTCCTTATAAGATAGAAAGGCAAAGAAAGTCAACAATTGTGGTTCTTCCGTTTGAGATTTTTATCACATTGCATCCATCATAACTCCGTACAAACAGCTTCAAAACATAGAGGCTATTTTGTAGGTGTCATTACCAAGGTTTGACCTTATAACTTGAAATAAATTGAGCATTGGTTATATTGTTATTAATAAAAATGATATATTTGTAAATTCCCAACGAGTAGAAAAATTATTTTTTCTGACGTTTCGTGACACTTCTTTGGCGAATAGAGAAATGAGGATGTGAACAACTACACACAGGTGTTTATGTACAAGAGTTTTAGAACATCAACCTGGTTAAGAAGGATTATTCATTTGTGATTCTAATTTACTGAATGTACACGTACCATAATTCCATAAAATTATATGCTGAGGAAAAATAAAAAAGCTATATGATAGATCCACCTAAATTAAAAGTGGTACAAGTTATTTGATGAATATATTAATTTTATTAGTTGAGATCATGAGTCAATTGAAGTTAGACCACCACGGAAAACCTGGAAGCACTGGACGGCCGTTTCACCCAGTTGTGGGACTCCTCAGCAGTGAGCACCCACGATCCTGCTTCGCGAGATCTGAACCCAGGACCTATCTGTCTAGTGAGAAGCAGTGACCTGTGAGTTCAATTGGGTCTGTGGTGAGATAGTAAGTCACTGAAGATAATGGTGGATAAGTCGCGCAATTTCGTGGATTTATTTATTTATTTATTTGGACACATGAATATTGGTACAAGAGAGCGCCAATATATATGCGCCACACAAAACAATGAAAATTCGAGAGGAATACAGAGAAAGAAAAAAAAGCTAAGGAGCGCAACAAAAAAAAGAGAGAACAATAACGAAGAGATTGGTGTAAGGTAATGTGCTAGTAATCAGGGAACGCAAAGGTACAATCGGAAATCTTTCAGGTAAGGGAGACAGAACCACCTTTTATGAAGAAAGTAAAAGAAAGTTACAGCAGGATCGCCACTGGCTTCTATTCTGAGCCATATCTGATAACGTCTCTAGCCACTGTGTTGCACCATCTGTAGGACCCCAACCAGGGAGTCGTGAAGGACCAACATAAGCCAGCCCTTTGCAGCTTTCTTTCATGCCACGACACCATGTCATGCACTGACCACCTCTCCGCTTCTTCCAACCAGTCCGAGTCGGCAAATAATGCACGACGTGGAATTCTCTGGGACGACATTCGGAGAACATGCCCAGGCCACCGAAGTCGGTGTTTCAAGATGGTGACACCAATTGCATTATCGCGTCTGTGTCCGAACACACGATGCCGAACCTCTGCATTACTGACATGGTGTTGCCACTGGATGTCAGGAATCCTTCGGAGACAGCGATGATCGAACACTGAGAGTCGTCTAACGTCCTCAACTCGGAGAGGCCAGGTTTCACAAGCATAGAGCAAAACTGGTCTCACCGACGCGTTGTAGATCCGACCTTTTACGGCCAGACTAACATCACGAAGGCGACAAAGATGGCCCAGATTGGCATAAGCCGCTCTGGCTTTCACTATACGTGCATTGATCTCATCAATCACACCCCCACCAGCACTTATGCAGCTACCTAGATACACGAACTTCTCGATTACTTCTATCTGCTCACCATCCAGGGTGAGTACAGGATTGGAATCCTGCCAGTCTTGTAGGAGTACTTTGCACTTCGAAGGTGCAAAGCACATACCATACCTACGGACACTGATTGCCAACTGATCAAGTGCGGATTCCATGCCTTGGGCATTATCGCGCAGTAAGACAATATCGTCCGCATACTTAAGGTCGAGAAGTCTTTCTCCAGGCAACAGATCCACACCACCATTACTTACATTCATCAGAGCTGTTTCCAGAATGTCATCGATGGATCGTGGATTAGTTGAAGTTGATGAATATACGCCTATTAAGACAATTTCAAATATAGGCGTATATGTACACTAACTACACATGAACATTTTTGCTTCAGCGAATTACTATTCAGAAAACGGAAACATAATACACTTTCGAAAATCACACTTTTCTGATAAGTAATTACATAAAACTGACACAGCGCGAAACAATTGGTTGTTGGGATCAAATGAATCGTTGAACCATATGTGTCTATCCTACAATCAATGTTACTTTGTAAGTTAATTGGTGAGTATAATTTTTGGACAACCTTTGAGCGACGCTGAAATGACCTTGAAAGTGTTCACCTAAGAACTAGGACCAAATGGGGATTATAAACCAGCGTGAATAATTAGAATTATGATTTACAGTTGATGGTTAGGGTCAGGAATTATATTTTCAGATTTCATCACGAACTGACATCAGCTATAATGCCGAAACTCTATTTAGCCAAATCGATGGGTGAATTTCACGCCAAAATCCAAGACATGTTATCTTATATCCGATTGGTTAGTTCGTGAATTATAGTCTCGCCAGTTCATTTCCTCTATGCAAATCTATGTTCACACATGTATGTATGCCAGGTGAACGTTCAACTCGTACATCAAACTTGTGAAAAGATACTGTGACAAACGAGAAAAGTGAAATTCAACATTTTCGGAAATATTCTATTGAAACTATTGTGGCACATAGTTAGCATTGTATGCAATACCTATAGATTTTTGTATCAACTAACAATGCGTATTGTAGAAACAGCCTCCCGTCCCAAAAACAGTGATGTAACTCAATTATGAAGTCAGTCACTCACTCACAATTTTGAATCCGGTACATACGTACAGCAGACCAAGTTGCCATACCCCGTTGGCACAGAGAGATGAAATAGCGATGTACCAAGTACAAGTTTATGTCTGCTCAGCTTTAAGCCATAAATTTGAGTGCTTAAAGAGGCTAATGTATAAAATTTTGATGTTTTTTTATTTAACAGATATTCACAAAATTTGTAGCCAAGCTTGCAGGTCATTAACAAACATGTTAATATAATTGCGATCAGTATTTGGAAACGTTAGGAGACATGGTTCAGAACCACTCACAATGGCGCAGATGGATTCACTCTTTATCTAGAAAATGAATTTCAGTATTCCTTCACACATTCCTTCTTATTCCATCTTCTGGAACCATGTTCTTAACATTCAGTCTTTCTCATTATCATTGATACAACAATTATTTCGATTTGTTTGTCATTTATCTTGTTAACTTCATTCCATAGTGATATGCTGCTATGTGCCAAGCTTTACTTTAATAACAGCGGATTAACTCAACTTGATTCGATAAAAAATTCACCTACTAACACTACTATTACAATTAAAACAGATGTATAAGAATGTCTCATTGATGGACGTTCGAATCAAAGAAGTGGTTTGATACTTTATCTTCAACTACTGAGAATAAGATTCAGTGTTCTCTGAATGTAATTTGGTTCGAACACTGGGTGAGTATCGTAAGCTACTACATATAAAACGTAATTCAAATTCATGAACATAAACACGAAAGCTTGAATTAATAACTGGGGAAGCACGTTAGTTTCTTCAAGGTAGAAAATAAACCGTATGTGACTCTCAACTAATTGCTGATAGCCTTTCCCTGCTCAACATCGAAATTAAGGCTATCATTATACCATATCATCAGATAGTTTCAACATACGTTTTCATAACTGTCTTATCCCTCACCAATCCTCCGAAATTGAAATTAATAGACTATCAAAATTGAAAAGTAACATAGGATGTATTGGAAAGACAAAAGAAAAAGCATAATTATGGGTAGGCAAAACACAACTGACCATGAACAGGTTTTCCTTCAGAAACTTCATAAATATCTTTTACAAAACTTAAAGTAGCCTCAGAAATGTGCACTTTTCCCGCTTCACCACTGGACTCCATTTCATTAGCTAATGTAACATCATTTGACCAAACATCGAATTTAAAACGTCTTGTTCCGACAATTCCACAGATCACTTTACCAGTGTGTACACCGACACGCATATTCACCTGAAATAATAAATGTACAGTGAAAACTCAGTAGTGTTTATTTCAAACAAGTAGTAATGAAATATGAAGACAAATGATGGGAAGTCCTTTTGGACCTATTTGGCACAAATCAGTAGGGTATACATTTGATATAAAATGGAGTTACAACGAATTGTGAGACATAACATAGCAACACTGTCAGGTACATTACTACTGAGCTATTCGAGCAGAGACTGACCTCACTAAGACTAGAGACCATATGGGAAATCGATCGATAGAATTTGATTGAACAAACAAGATATTGGTCATTGTTACTTATTAATGCATGAAGTAACAAACATCAACACACGTTCACGGTAGAGTCGAATTAATTACGTCTTCTATGCCACAAAAAATAAATGCAGACAGCTCGTGACGATCGATAGGGCAAGGTAATTTTCGCTTGCTCATGTCTTAAAGTCAAAACTAGAAAATCTCAAATGAGTGATCAAAAACAAAATACTATTCATTTGATTGTACAAATAAATTACATCATAATGCACTGTATTTTTTAAATTTCAATACATAAATAATTAGAATATATCCTGGTAAAAACAAGTTGTATGGTTAAGATTGAATGATTTTAGTTCTAAAATGCAAAATAATATAAAAATTAATGGGTCAAAAACGAGTTTAGGTTCGGGGATATGTATAAAATTGCTATAAGATAATCATTTTAATAATAATAATAATAACTGCATACTTCTTCAACGTCTTCAATAAACAGAAATATGTTATTTGGCTATTGTAAATTAACGAGTCCCTAGACTGGAGAGAGTTACTTTGAAAAGTCAGAGGTAGAAAAATTACCCTGATGAGATCTTTTGTGCCAAAAAATAGGAAACTGACCAGGCACTAATGGGTAGCTTGACCAAAGAAAATAAAAAGGACATATCTACAGTGCATATAGCTTTCTGAAAACTCGATGCTAAAACTAAGGAAGTTGGGGAAAATTGATTTCCAAATGAAAATGTATATGAGCTCTGATGAAACAAATGACCGAAAAATCTGTACCAATAGTCACGGATTACTACGGAAATGAAGGTTCTAGTTTGTAAACTTTCCTGTTAAAGAGTAGCGGACTGACCTTCAAAACAATGATAGGTTTTATATTGGATGTCTGACGATTTACAGCCCTTCATCGCCTTTTAACTGATGGAAGACATTTGGGGTTCTACAATTTAAAAATTTTGATTATTCTCAGGTATGCGTATTACTTGTCAGATGATATATATTTCTCCTAAACTGTACACCTGAATTAAGATATAGACAGAGTAGAATTTGAACCCATGACTTGAAAGATGAATTTGGTGTTCGTTACATTTTTAACTATGAACCATATATCAGGTTTGTATCGCAATGATGAAACATGCTTTCAGTTGCAAAACGTAGTCAGCTAGTTGGTGTAGTAGTTAGGCTCATTCACCATTGAAACATTATCTCTCTAAAGCTATTGTCTATCAAAAATTTAGGGCGTTTTCTTAAACTAATAATAAAATAACCTGTGTATTCTCAGTACGGTTACCGGCCCTATCTAAATATTTGTCCTTTTTTGTCTAGATTAAACAGTTCAAAATGATTGTGTTTTTATGACACCAGTAACGAAAATTTCAAGTACTGTTGTGTTTCCTCGATTCGTTTCAGATCCATACACAAAACAGTTTGAAAAAAAAACAGAATAAAGTAAACTAGAATTCAAGAAAAAGACAAACAGACAGACAGGGAGGAGAATTGGCAAAACCGGTTTGTCTTCGTCTTCCAAAATGAAATAAGGAAATAGCAAAATTAAATGAAAAGGATGGTTACGGGAAGTGTGCTGATGATGGAAACATTGTTAGATGTTCAATATTGACTTGAATAAACAATAATCATAATAACAGTATGATTGAATATGTTATGGTTGAAATCCTCGAGTGTATACCAAAGACTGATAAGTAACAGATACAGGAAATAATGTAGTAAAACATGGATATCTCGGATAAAACTACGACCCAGAGAACACTGTAAACATGATGATGACGATGACCAACATGGAATGATTATATAAAAACTAAAAATTGCAAAATGCATTATTTCTTGATGGTTTTCGTTTTTTTTTCTAAAAGAACATTAGAAGAGGCATTACAAAACAATCGACATACTACAATATAGACTACTACCAACTATCTATTTAAGTCCTAAAGTATTATCCTTCCACAATTATTATACATTCATTTCGATATCATCCACTTACGAGTGTGTTCAACTTGGAATTCCATTCTTTGTATTTCTCTCTTTGTGTGAGTGTGACTGGGTGAGAGAATCAGAGCTAGTGACACTGCTTGACTGGCTACCCTACGAGATGGGTGAAGTCGTAATGGGTTTTTAAACCTGTAGCCTAATAGTGATAGGGACAATTAATTTACTGGTATCAATTTACTTGCGTAGGTGGGATTTGTTGACGAAGAACAAACAACTCACTTCCTCATCAAAAATATTTTTAGAAATCACAGGAAAATCCTCCATCAAAAAATGATAATTTTCTATATATCATCCGTATACTACTAATGGCTAATTAGAACACGATGCACTTGAGTCCGACCGTTGTCAAGATAGGTAGATAGAAGTGATGACTGTTCTGAACAGATTGCATTTTGAACAAACCAGCGATTAGTGGTACGTAATATCCAACTTGTGATTAAGCATTTCCTAAATATATAAACGGTTTTTTTCTGTATCTGTGTATTGAAATACGTACTGCAAGAAGATAAATACCATCATAACATTTTACATCAAGCTAGCTCACTAATGATAGGCATTGTATATGGTTCCATCTAGATTATAAACCACAGAAACGAGGGAAAAACCAGTAACAGAAAAAAACCGCTTTTCGTCCCAGGAGGAAACCACAACATTGTGATATTCTACAACAGACGCACGTAAAACTAATTTTTTGATCAGTCAGTGAATTGATCCGTAACACTAGAGGAGTTATAAATGTTTGTGCTTGAGCTACAATTATTTACATATATTTTCATCAACCCATTTACTAGGTGAAAATGTGTGTATTTGGCTTCTAGCCATGTGAAAATCCTAGCAATCCTGGCCCAATCGAAATGGATGAACCAGGGTTCAAGCCTACGATTAGGTGGTTGGATTTCGGATGTCTTAACCACCGAGCCACTAATCCATTAACAGTGATGCATTTAAGCATATAAGCTAGTTATCTGAACTTGAATATATACGAATGAATAACAGGACATTGAAAACAGTCATTTTAATTTTAAAATAGGAAATTTGAGTCCGCACAATAGCGTATGATTAACAAGTGACCTTTTTCATACTGTGAGTATCTAGTGAGAAAAATCTACTTGTAACACATGCAAGTTGCCTGTCTGCCAATCAAAAGGCGTGTATACTGCGCAGAAGTTTTCTCTATAATTTTGTGACTGTGAAAAATAGTCCATTAAACTAGGAGACATGGATAAGTTGTAGGTTTTTGATCATAACTGTCTTTGAAGCACTGTCTGCTTTTCATCAAATCAACCGAGTAAAAAAATGTTGAGGTTAGCGCATAGTGTACTATGCACAGATAGAAATTCGTTTGACAAGGTGATGGATTTTTACCGATAGTGGTCAGAACGGGTGTTATGTAGATCTAATCATCGCTTAACTAGACAAGTGACGTCTGATGTAGGAGCAAGTTGAAAGAAAGAGAGGGAAGCCCAAACTAAGACGTAGTATCAGTTCATGAAGTCAATGACTGTTATTAAGAAACCTGTTGGTAGATACAGACTGTCTGTTTAAAGTCACACGATAACCAGTGGTCGTAAGACTTGGGGTAACATGACTCATAATCGTTTATAATGGCGCAAACGCTTTTACTCTATCTTTCGATATTGAATTCCCTCACATACACTGTCTTTACGAACCTTATTCTCAGTACTTAGTCTTTTTAACTGCCACTGCTTCCACATTATTCCTATCCTGTTAATCTCACTTCGTTGTGCTAATATAGTATGGCAACTTGGGACAACATTCATGTGCCAGGCTTCATTTTAATGGTGACTGATTAACTGGGTAACAAAAAATAAATTTTGATTAGAAATATAGTCGGACATCTACCATTATCGGTTACTTTTATGTAAGACGTTTAACAGACAACCTGTGAAACAAGTATGAGACTATATATATATATATATTCTTTCACTTACTTCCTCTGAATGATCTTCATCAAACTGTTGTATAGCTAAGCACATTGCTCTACCCATTTCCACTGTTCGCTCAGCATGATCTTCGGTTGGATTCGGACAACCAGAAACGCAATAATAACAATCACCAAGAGTGGCGATTTTCTCACAACCAACAAGTTCGCATAAACGATCAAATCTATCATTTACAGTAGTAGAAGACGAAAAATGACTGAAAATCCACATATGGATTATAATCACACCAAAATCCGTAAGAAAAATCTCATTCAACGTGATATATACCTGATAAAACCTACACATGTCATGATAATATTAGTATATGATACGTTTACAGTTATAAATTGGTAACCATATACACTGATGGCGGCCTGCTTAAATATCTGGGCTACCTGTCCCTGCTATTTGGATATTTCAACAAGTAATATGTTTTCTTGTTTGTTTTAACACATCGTTATGCCAATTGATCGCATAACCTATTCAGGTGTGTTTGTGAAAAGTTCACGACATTTCGCTGTACAAATTACAAAAGAACCCAATCAGAGACATCGTGGTTACTGGTAATATGCATCGGAAAGAATATAGACTAATCAGATGTCGATTTCTGAACCGCTAACATCTAACTGGAAACCACTCAATATTTATCGCAAGGATCGATCAAGAAATAAGGAAACTTGTTGAAATACTTTGTGCTGAGAATTCAATATTGTACCAAACATATAATATTGAATAAAGCCAATAATAATAATAATAATAATAATAATAATAATAATAATAATAATAATAATAATAATATGAATGCAAAATACCATAAAGTTAGGGTGAAATAAAAACTGGAGTGACAAAGTAATTAAAAGTTAAGCTTTCATCAGGAAATGGGCCATCTTAACAAAAGTTATCAGTAACAGTGACCTGTTAATGAATAGCTAATCAAGTGATCACAAGTTAGGAACCCTACTTCATATAATTGAGAGAGCATGAAAGTGTAGAAACACGTCAATTAATTTGAAGTACAACCCAAATACTTCTTTACTTACACTATGATATTATCTCAAACTCTTAAGGAGGATACTTTTTATTACAACTTGATTACAAATATATTTTGTCTGTAAACTGATGAACAGAATACCGACAGGCAAATGATAGAAAATAATGATACGGCATGGTAAACTGACAACTACTCATGAAACTGAACCATTAGACTAAGTCCTCTTCCTTAGAATGAACTGGTATCAAAAAGTAATCAAACTGCCTGTAGGATTGGTTTCTTTCAGAATTAAGGACAAATTTACATACAAAACATTAAGCACAAAATTAAACATAATTACATATCTTTCACCACCGCGTTAAACATACTGCGGTTTGAGCAACCGGACATTATCATTAGCTCCCATATTTAGAGTGTGGCTTATATCCAAGTACCTAGTGAATCACTTTTTTTCATACACCACAAACATGAAGACCTGACAATCAGACCCTTTTGCTTGTTGAATGACACTCTACGACAAAATATTCTTTAATCAAAACTACACCATTTAGTTCACCAAATGAGTATGGTTATCTCGAAATTGTAATTACACATTCTGGATGAGTGCAGTCAGTCAGTCACAAAGTAGAACCTGGTACATATATACATCCGTTCAAGTTGTCATACCCCATTAGCATAGAGAGATGAAATTTTTAGATCGAATCGCAGAATGGTAGAGATAATAACAGTATCAGTGGTGATTTAAAAGAATAAGGATCAAAAATACGATTCCAAAAGAAAATATAAATTAATGAGATAAAAGCACGAGAATAGTTGCGAGGAAATCAGAATCGCAGAAATTGAGGAAAGATAGAGAATGAATGCACCCGCGCCATTGAAAGTGATTTTAAGCCGTGTCGTTCATAGTCTCTAACCATTGGTTACGATAATCTCGCGGACCTCAACCAGATAGTTCGCTCCAACTAACATGGCTCAGTCTAACTGTCAATAACTTTATGGATTGAAGATGCCCCTAATTTTCTTCTAGTCTACTCTTACACCACATAACACTGCCGGTCGAGATAGGTGATGGTTGGCCATGCGTAACAGATGTCCCAACCACCTTAGTTGATGAAGATTTATCACCTTTTCAATCGATTTGCCATCGTTATCTAGTAGCCTATTCCTAATCCAGGAATTGTTTACTTCATGATCCCAAAATACACGAGTAATGCCTCAAATACGTCTATAATCGAACACCAGTAACCTATGAACATTCTCTATTCTTAATGGTCATGTTTCACACCCATGAAGTAGAACGAAGCGGGCTGATGTGCATCCAACTTGCTCTTTAGCTGGCAGGCAGATATCTTGCCTAGGCCGCAAGTGACACAAGTTGACAGCTTGTGGAATATACTTCCCTCTTCCGAGCTTCGACTTCTCTCTCTAGTTAGCAGGGCTGAGACACGGCAGACTAGCTAGCTTATCTGTCATCGTGTCACAGTCTTCGTTCCGTTCTCAGATCACGGGAACTTGTAATCTTTTCAAACATAGCAGAATAATAGTCCCATCTTTTTCCGAGATGGTTTCACCAACATCCGGATTTTTAACACCCGTTTCGTTGGTAAGTCTGAACAGTTTTTGTGACCTATCGCTGCTATCTTTTTCATCTCTTCTGCTTTCGCTAAACACCACTGCTCACGATTATTTCGGCTCTTGATTAACTAACGTTTAAGCTGCCTCTGCTCCTAATCGTGTTCATGGCCAGATGGGATGAGTTTATGAGCATATTTCAATTCTACAGATGCCCTTGAAATCCACTGATTTTTCCTAACCATTTGATTTAAAGTTACAGGTAGATATAATTGCTGTTTCCACAACTCTTTGGATATTATGTGAAGTTACCTCACAGTGAATATCGCTTAACTAACCGCCGGAGGCAGAAACCCGTGAGATGAGGTCCACCTTTTCTATTCCCTTCCTGTTGTGAGAAGGCAGTACCGCTGCAGATGCTGGTTGTTCGAGGGAAACATTTTACTGTTGTCACATCCCTCTACAGTCAGCAGTAGGACTTCACCCTCGGGCCTTAAGCTGTTGCTTTTAATCCTAGTGTTATCCAACCGATCCGCCTGGCATGGGCATTGTGACAATACCAAGTGTGTAATACAGAAGTAGTTTCAAAACCAATGAATGGATGAGCTACATACATATGCGTAAAATACCAATATAATTATTTGAGACTGACATATTTCCAGATATACACGTCGTAGATCCGAACCCCGGTCAATCTATTATTGTTTAAATAGACAAGCAATATCACTAGCTCTCTCGTATACAAAAACAGTAAGTCCCAAAGTTAAGTACGTAAATCAGTGCATGGGGTAAGAGAGTCTCATAAAAAATTGATCCGAATATAGTACGTAGATATATCGAAAACAATGATCCAACTCAATTATTAAATAAAAACTTGTGTACTCAGGATTTCGAACCATATTTTTTTAGTATTACAGTGTTATTACTACTGCCCGTCTGCCCGTAACCGAGATAGACGGAACTGAGTGCATACCTCCAACTCGATGATTGAAAATCCAGTTTATTCACTAACTTCCATGTACCCCACATGTATATTTGTTTGAGAGATTTGTGGAGGTTACTAAATGTGTGAACCACCGAAAGTCTCAAACTAGGACGAAGCAGCTGTCAAGTACTCTCTATTTGATATTATAATCAGCGGCAAGAAACCAAATTCAAGCCTATAGATATTTATGATAAAAGTGATGGGGAAGCCCATCTAGTTTGTTAAAATCAACAATAATGAAAATAATCAAAATCGGATAAATTCAATAGTTAATTTAGCCATGAAAGTCAATAAAACAGGATACTACGTATTGTTTGATTCTCATAATTTGCGATCCATACATAATTATATTTTGTGAATAATTTTAGAAATTTATTTGCTTTTGAAGTGATGTATTAAGAACATGTATTAAGACCATAACCATGGACTGATGAATAGAAATTGCTAAAATAAATGACTTGAGTTGTCGAACTGAACTTGATGTATTTTAATTTATTACACTGGCTGAACATCAAATAACTTCATCTACAAAACTGGTGCCTTTGCTCTAGTTAGCGGGTCAGGGAAAACAAGAGGACAGAATAGTTATATTTACGGTCGAAGTAGATAAATTATTAGCACAGTGCACAAACGTATCACACTTTGATACACTACTGTGTAACCTATTTACAGCAAACTAATAGCAATTTGTTTGGACGATGGAAGACATAACACAGACTAACTGACTCAATATTTTCTTTGGAAATCTAAGCTGCTATTTAAATACAAATGTTTCCAACTAAAATCGTATGACTAAGTTTCATATCGGAATAAGAGTAAAAATGAGCGCCACCAAAATCACAATGTGATTGTTGTTAAGGAGATCCAGATGATTCCTCGAAAAAAGCCAAAAATGCTCAGGAAAAGCTGAGAAACATCTTATCCAATCAGTATTTAATAGAAGTCTTACCAGAAACATCTAGAAAGTGAAAAGTCACATGTCGCGTTTTTGATTGGATAATTCATTCTACCGCTACTATGTTTATTAGCGTTTAAGTCGCTGTGCGGATTTAGTCTGGGGGTTACCAGAAAGTTTAGGATACCGAATCTAGCGTTCAATTAGAAGAGTTATCATTTGTACTTTTATCCCCCCCTACCTCTTAAAAAACTTACGGAAAAAAAAGTGAACTTACCTCCCAAAAAGATCATTTAATAGGTAGACAAGATGTGATGCAGATTTATTCGAGCTCATTTTAGTAAAACCAACAATATCAGCAAATAATACACTGACATTTTCTAATTGATTCACATGAAACTTTCGAAATGCGACAGCTCGTGATGGAGGTACAACAGCTGCTTTAGGCATTAAGCTACATTTTTGACTACAAGGACTGCCAGCATCACTAACCCCAGAACCCATTTCTAAGTCATCTGAAAATACAGTAATTTAAATATATATGAATAAATAGTGAATTTAAACTTGTCGGAATTTATACATGCATGCAGTATACAACTAACTAACGTAACTTGAAAACGTCTCTAGAAAGTTTCAACAAATGCAAAACTGTTAAATAACTGACTTGCTTTGTTTTTAAAATGAATAATAGAATGAAATGAAAATAACATAGACAATATGATAAAATTACCTAAACTGCTTTACTAATTGCTAAAAGATACGAATCATATAAAGGAAAAATTGAAGAACAAAGATAGTGCTGCAATGGAAACTAAAATGTTAAATTATTTACAATTGGATTTTTTTAATAAAGTTGAAATGATCGAATACTCCAATTGTGACTGAGATTGACAACCGATTGCAACACCCAAATACCTTTCAACGTTTCAGACAATAATATTGACTTTATTAGACCAGTGGAACACAGCATTAAAAATCCTTGGGACATTTCTCATCAGATTTGAGTCTCAATTCAATAAATATAACTAGTGTACTAATAATTACTACTAATCATCGAGCAGTTGGTCGCACACAAAAATAACTATGATGTGTTAGTTAGCCAGTGCTTAGACAGAGATAAGTATTACAAGTTTCCAAACGTTACCTGCACCTTTGTTCGCAGTTCCAAGTTTCTCTGATTATCTACCCGATTGGCCAAGTCGTAATGTGTCCACTCCATTATATTCCACCGAGTATGGCTTGTGGGTAAAATACATACTATGTTGTACTGCCTTACTTTTAGTACAGAAATGTATGAGTAGAGTTGACAAAAACCATACCGAGTTACAAGAAACACTTACAACTGTTGTTTCTTAAAATACCGGAACTGCTCCTTGAATCATGTGATCGTAAATGAGTTATTTTCTTGCTAAAGTGCAATACTGAATATTATACTACTTAGTAAAGTAGACTTCTAACGTTTTATGTGGCGCAATAATAAAGTATGGGTATACATGTGCATTCGGCTTAGGGTCAAGCTTTTGATATAAAGGCTAGTTGATCAAAATGAAAGTCAGAATCTGTAACCCAGTAACTTGAAATCAAGTACTTTGACAAATAGATAATCGTTCAAAAGTGCTTATGGAAGTAAACAAGATGAATTATCAATAATAAATCTGAAAAGTGAATATTAAAGTAAATCTAGGTTTTGTTTGACCAAAGTAAAATTTATAATAACTACCAATAAGTCTCCTGATGTCAGCCGGATATAGATTGGATTAAAGGGTGTTTTTCCTATTGTGTTTCTTACTTTCATCTACCCTTGTTATTTGGAATATAATCTCTTTCCTGTTCAACTATGTTCTGATTTGGGGACTTGTCAAGTGAATTGGTGTCGAAGAATACTAAGCAATAGGAATAGCTAGGCTGTAATGAGAGAAATATAACACCTAGGTATAGACGTCAAAACATTATGTTGCTAGGAAAAAATTGGATAACTCTGTTACCAATCACTTTTTCAAGCGGTGTAACCTAAACCCTAGCCATTGTTGATTGAGATAATAGTAACTAAATTGTTTAACAATGTACGTGCAATAAAATCAGAGAACAAGAAACGACAACAAGAGAGACAAAAAGAATTGCAAGTCAGAGGCTCATAAACTATACTGAGGCACACTAATTGTGATTGGTTCACTAATACCATTCGAGTGTCGAAACTCAAAAAATATAGTGTTTGAAATGGGTGAAATTCAAATGATTAAATCAGTGGGGTGTAATTCCATGTTATTAAAAATTCTGGAGGACAAAAGTAGTTCCAAAATAACTAACACGCAAAATCATATAATAACCCAGCCAAACATAGCAACTATGTTTAATTGCCCCTGGTGACTTTGAGATATGCTATTTACTAAAGGAACACAATGTTTTCATTTTAAAAGAAAATCAACCTATTTCTTATTTTACAAACTAACCTTGTCGTATAGGCTGTTGTTCACAGTTACTCCCAACACTCGCTTTTTTTGGAGTTTGTGTTTCATCTTCATCTTCACTATCTACCTCATCACCAGCATAACTGAGTCCACTAATTTTAAAACTTTCACCTAAATTGATACAATTCGCTTCGCGTGATTTTTTGTCTTTCGATTTTCTATGGTGACTTTGCTTAGACTCATTCCTTTTATGCTTATTTTTATTCTTGTCGTTTGAACGCCTATGATCATCATCATCATCATTAGTGTCATATTCAATAGAACTTTCATTGCCCACTTCACGCATTACTTCTTGTGCAACTTGATTAGGCATTAATGAACGAATCATATCATCGCGTATTTCTTGTTCTTTCTTTAATGCTTTTCGCATTAAAGCATTATAACCCATGCGTAAAAATGTCGATCGGCGCCAAACCTATGTTTTTTTAAATAACATAATAATAATGATGTTCCTGCAAAAAGCGACTAGTTTTAAAAAAATAATAGCAAAGATAGATTAGAACAACAAATATAGATGAAAAATATTGTTTTTAATTAGATCCTCATCAAGCTTTATTCTAATATACATGAATACTTAAATGCATATACGAAATTATCATATCAATCACCCGACTGTAGCTGCTACCTTGACGTGGTGGTCAGGCTTGCCTATCGTGATGACCCAACCGAGCTATATTGGCTGGAACATATGTTCCTGTAGGCTCTACCATGCCAGGCAGGTCCATTGGAGAACGGTAAGACTAAAAGCAGCAACTCAAGGTCTGAGGGCGAAGTCGTACTGCTGACTGTAGAGGGGTGTGACAGCAGTAAAGTGTTTCCCTCGGACAACCAGCATCCGCAACGATGCTGCCTTCTCACAAGGAGATGTGGGGTTAGAAAAGGTCGATCCTAAAAATGTCACGCCTCACCTTACCTCACGGTTTCCGTCTCCGGTGGTAAGGCTCTTTGAAGAACAGAGCTAACACGTTAAAAACCTCCCTCAAAAGAGCCGCGCGCGACCGGCCTTAAACAATTGTCCCTTAGGATCTGCGGTCACGCTCCCAGGTCGTTAGGACCAGCATTAATCCAACTTCCTTTTCAGGTTCCTCAAGAAATACCCTTCCACGGTGTGGGCAGCCGGGAAGTGATATCAGACCCGTTAGAACTGACTTGAGTAACGAGAAAACCAAAAGTAGGTTCCAGGAACAACTGAGGTCACACTTAGGTAGTTGTGAAGACGAGGTTGACCCAGATGTTGCTTGGAAGGGCATACAATCAGCTGTGGAAACAGCAGTGACATCTATTAGTGACTTAAACCACAGAGTTGCAAGGAACCAGTGGATTTCTTCAAGGTCTGTCACACTGCTGGATTCTCGCAAACTCGTCCCATCAGGTTCTGAACATGATGAAGAGCGAAAACAAATCAGATCTAGGTTAAGAAAAAGTCTAAAGAACGACCGTGAGCAGTGGTGGGTAACGAAAGCAAAAGAGATGGAAAAGGCGGCGACTATAGGGAACACAAGACAGCTTTACAGACTAATAAAAGAAACTGGAATTAATAAGTCAAGTGTAAGTGAGATTATATCGGAAAAAGACGATACACTCATCTGCTCCAAGTCCAGACGTTTAGAACGATGGGCGGAACACTTTGTGAAACAGTTCAGCTGGCCTTCAGCTACTCTACAACTACCCTCCATTCCCAGACAGTGTGAATGGAACATTGAAGTAGGTCCCCCGACTCTTGCTGAAGTTCAAAAGGCTATGGTTAATCTGAAACGAGGAAGAGCAGCTGGTTCAGATGGATTGGCTCCAGAGGTCTTTAAGGATGGTGGTCCAATTTTAGCGATTAAGTTGACTAATATTTTAGCTAAGATCTGGGAATTAGACTTTATCCCATCTGACTGGTCGCAATCACTTATCGTCCCAATATATAAGAAAGGGTCAAAATCATCCTGTGACAACCACAGAGGGATTAGTTTAACAAACATAGTATCTAAAATACTGGCCCCGATAATTATCAAACGCCTAACTAAGACTCGTGAACTACAAACTCGAGAGAACCAAGCTGGCTTTAGACCTGGTCGTGGCTGCATCGACCACATATTCACCATTCGTCAGGTTCTAGAACACAGGCATACCTATCGGCGTCCGACGATGGTGGTATTTCTTGACTTAAAAGCAGCATTTGACTCGGTAGACCGCGAGACTCTGTGGCAGTGTCTGTCATTGAAAGGCGTACCTCAGAAGTACATAAACCTTGTGAAGGCTCTTTACTCGAACACTACTAGTCGAGTCAGGGCTTATGGCGAACTGTCATCTACTTTTGCAACTTCAAGTGGTGTCCGTCAAGGCTGTCCACTTTCTCCATTTTTGTTTAACTTCATCATAGACCTATTGATGGAAATAACACTCTCGTCGACTGAATTCTCGGGTATTGATCTCCTTCCAGGAGGTCCACTTATCGACTTAGAATACGCAGATGACATAGTCCTGTTTGGTGAAGACGCTGACAAAATGCAGAGTCTTCTGGTAGCACTAAGCAACAATGCCAGAATGTTTGGGATGCGCTTCTCTCCCTCTAAATGCAAGTTGTTGCTTCAGGACTGGTCTCCGTCAACACCTGAACTAAGGATAGGGAGTGAAGTAGTTGAACGCGTTGACAACTTCACTTATCTTGGAAGTCTGATCAGCCCTAATGGGTTGGTGTCTGACGAAATCTCAGCACGGATTCGAAAAGCTCGTTTGGCTTTTACCAACTTACGTCACCTTTGGCGAAGGCAAGATATCCGTCTATCAATAAAAGGACGAGTATACTGCGCGGCAGTCCGTTCTGTTTTAATTTACGGCAGCGAAACATGGCCCTTAAGAGTAGAAGACACCCGTAAGCTACTAGTATTTGACCACAGATGCCTTAGAAATATTGCTGGCATCTGCTGGGATCACCGGGTAAGTAATAGTGAGGTTAGACGCAGGGTATTAGGGAATGATGGTAAATCAATTGATGAGGTTATGAATCTTCATCGACTGAGATGGTTGGGCCACGTATTACGTATGCCTGAACACCGATTACCACGACGTGCAATGCTAACCGGGGTAGGGGATGGTTGGAAGAAAGTTAGGGGCGGCCAAACCAAAACGTGGCATCAGTGCCTGAAGTCACTAACTTCTAGCCTGAGCCATGTTGGTAGATGCAGACTACTTGGTTGGGGTCCGCGTGACTTTCGTAACCAATGGTTGGAGACTCTTGGTGACATGGCTCAGAATCGATCACAATGGCGTCGGTGTATACACTCCCTGTCTTCCCTTAAACTAAGAGACTAAAATCACTTCATTCTTTCTGTCTACGAACTAATTCTTTCTTCCTATACTATATCCTTATTGCAACCTTTGACCTAACCACTCCTATGAATCCGCTGTTCATCTTGCTGTGCTAATGAGGTATGGCAACCTGGACCGATGCACATATATGCCTGGTCTTACGTTGTAGCTGACTGACTGACTGACTCAATAAACTGGTCATAGGCGGCACCATATTCCCACATAAAGGCATACACAAAACCACATGGACTTCACTGGATCACACTACACAGAACCGAATCGATCACATGTGAATCAATAAAAGGTTCAAGACGATGGAGGATGTAGGAACCAAGAGAGGAGCTGATATAGCATCAGATCACCACTTCCTGGTCGCCAAGATGGAACTGAAACTCAAGAAGCACTGGACAACGTGGCGGAGAGCATCACAAAAGTTTAATACGGCCTTTCTTCGGGATACTGATAGACACAACGAATTTAATGTATCCCTCAGCTTTAGGCTCCAGGCCTTTCACGATCCACTCAATGGAGACGGAACTACCATGGAGAACAACTGGAAAGGGATCAGAAAGGCAATCACTTCAACATGTCATGAGATTCTGGGCCACAAAAAGCACCATCATAAGCAACGGATCACTGTTGATACACTGGATAAGATTCAGGGTGTGGCCCCTAAGAAAACCAACTGCTTCGGTTTGAGCGCCCGGGCAGCATCACAGCCCTCACACATATCAAATGAGATCTGTGTGGCGCATATGTATTTGATGCCTCCTTGTACCAATATCTATGTGCTAAAATAAATAAAAATAAATCGTTTACTAACATCCAAATGGCTCCGTATACAAACGTCTCAGTCTGAGTAAGAAAATACAACCTCCTCCCACTGGTTCGTTCCAGCAGTGCGGTTAGGCACGACTCATTATTTATTTTAACACATAGATAATGGTACAATTGGGCATCAAATACATATGCGCCAGACAAATCTCATTCGATATGTATGAGGGCTGTGATACTGCCCGGGTGCCCAAACCGAAGTAGGGTTAGGCACGATTGTCCAATCTTACTATTCCTCTCCAAATTTGCCACTGGTGGCTTGGACATATCGCATCAATATCATCTCAGGAACCTCCACATTTTGTATGGTTCCCCGAAGCTGAGACTGAGTGGAAAAGTAGGAGATGGGTAGTTTATGAGATGAAGCCGTGATATTAAAGAAAGGTGTATAGAACTGGCATCAGTAGGTCCATCATGACACCCTGATTGCAGTCTTAGAAATGGTGCAACTCAGCGGCTCGAAATGTTGCCAGAAACGTTTCAGAACGGTGGCCATTTGAACCCTAGCTGTAGTTTTTCTTACTTTTTTCATAAAAATGAAATTTATTTACCTGGAAGGGTTTCTCGTGATTGTATTTTTAACTGAACCGTTTCTCCAATTTTAAACTACTTGAGTTCACTCATTTCTGTCCATTTATTTGTCTTTAATTATAAACACATGTCTTCCTCTATCGTTTCATAAGTACATCTCCTTAGTCGTGTAGTCTTTTTTTCTGCCCAGCTGTATCGACATTTATAAAGTAAAATTTAACGAATACACTACGTCTTGGTTTAGTACATATATTCTGGGAATCAATGTAATGTTATCAGATGTCTCTAGCACACCTGTTTGTGCACTACTGGCTGATCCCTAAGTGTATGGTTAGGACTTTCAAATCTTCAGTCGCAAGTGCTTCAACCATGAATTCATTGTTCTACATATTATAAAATAACCATAAAACTAGTCAAAAACATGAATATCAAACCGAATTCCTGGAAGTTATGGTAAAAGAGAGCGGACTTACTTGAGACATCAAGTGAAGATTAATTCCAATCAAATGAACAGAGAAATGACCGACGAAAAACAACAGTATAAACCAGCCTGGGACCCGGTCGTACCTCACACTTGCTAAAACTATTTGCAAGACACTAACGGGTCCACAAATTGCCAACAGCTGCCATAAGCGCAAAGGAGCCATGGTATATGTGATCAATATGAGCTGAAGAATTAAACTGAGATTAAAAGCCAAAGTAGCACCAGGTTCTGGTGGAGTAAATGCAAGCAAGCCAAGCAAGCATGAAATCCATGCGTGACTAACACTGATTAATATAGCTCGTGATCTGAAAAGTTTGTCGAAGAAGCTCATTAAGAAATAAGTAAGTGAGATCACAACACCAAGACTGAATCCGATCCTGTATATTAAACAACTAGGATGTTGCAGAATTGAAAAATACATCAACCAAGCGACTGACAGAAAAGCCGTTAATACAGTGCCAAAACGGAATCTCCCACGTGAACTTGGGTAAGTACATTTGTAGTAAAATGACTCTAATACTTCCGAATCAAACTTGAGATTGAGTATTCCCCCGGAACATCTTTCAAATAAGTAAAGTCCTTTGATCTTGTGTTTCCGGACTGAGTCGACTCCTTTAGCCTTGTCAAAGTTATTTCCTGATGTCATTATGGGGAAAATAAATTATGCAAATATCTTAAACACCATTTGAGTGGGTGAAGTTGAGATGTTATATGAGTAACTGATATCAAAACCTTCAAGGTAGGATCAGACTTTCGGAGTAATGATATAATATTCTTATCAGACGATAATTATTCTGGTGAACTGACTCTCGTTACTCATTACCGTGTGTCCTACAATTTGGACCGATATCCCGATCATGAAGAGACGAACAAGCCTTCTCGCGCGGCTCTGAATGTTTCCCAACATATCCAATATCCAATATATTTGCTCCAGGCCATTACAAACCAAGTTATTTCTTTGTACTCGTTTCAAGTTTATTAACTAAGTATTGCTAATGGTTTAAATGTTTTTGGATGGAATGGAAGAAGCTTTCGCTTAATGATGGACCGCCAATACCTCCAGGCAAGAACCTAGGTATATTACCGATAAAAGAGGGAAAAGAAGTTGGCAAATCATATTATGAAACTATTCTTAGTCCTTAAGAATATGTCAAGTTTTCTCTTAGACGATTCTAGCGAAGTTGCTTGTACCAGCTCAGCATGCAGTGAACTCCATCATTCGACTAGTCTTACACAGTACAAGTTTTGTCTACAGTCCGTTCTGCTGAGTTGCGTTTCCAGTTTTTGGTTGTTACCCCTTAAGTTTGTGTTGGAACCAAACTTAAGTAAGGGTTTGAGAGAATATCCAGGTGTAGCTAAGATGCTGTGAGCCATTAGGTCACCTCTAAGACGCCTGTACTCTAGTGGGTAAAGGTTTAGTGATTGAAAGCGCTCTTAATAAGCCTTGAATTTGAGTCCCCCAACTGGTTTCGTCACAAAGTGTCCTTATCCCTTGGAAGTAAGGGAGGAAGTAATATGTTTACGTGCTCTAAATGGGGACGAATGAAACTGTTGAAGATTATGTCGGAAGTTCTGCCGTAAAAATTGTCGTAAATGAGCTCCAATGTTACCAGCACAAAGTTTGCTCGAAAGGTAATCTTGTCACAGTTAACGTAGGACTTCGAATCAAGACTTCAAACTTCTAGATCTTTTTCGACTTGAGACATCTATAGAGGAGAGTTGCCTAGATTCTAATCTGTAACATGTTACAAATGAATTACTTAACACTATGAAGTGTTTAATGTAAGTCTGTTGTCATCCGCCCAACTTTGGAGTCGAGTCAGATCCCCCTGAAGTCCCGGTATATCCTCTTTACTCCGTACCTCTCTTTAAAGTTTCACATCATCAGCAATAAGTAAGAACTCTGACCATAACTGTTGTTGAAGATTGTTTATATTAATCAAGCAAAGAAGAGGTTCTTGTACTGAACCCTGGACTACCCCATCAGGACATTGCATAGCTTGATAGAAAATGAAGTCAACCCTGACCTTAAAATGTCGTGTTTTTAGATATGAAGTGAACCAATCAATTAAAGGTGATTTGAAACTCGATCATTTGAACTTATTGATATGGCATATATGGTTGGCCCTATCAAACGCCTTTGAGACGTCACGATCAAGGATGCTTGTCCATCTCTCCACCGTAACCAGCGGGCTGGTTGTACAACAATGACCATTCCTGAGACCATGCTTTAGGAATAGAAATGATTTTAAGATAATAAACAATCATGTATACCGTCGTATATCAGGGACTCCATAAATTTTTATGGTATATAGAAAAGTGCCACCGATCGGTAGCTTGAAGGTTTGTTGCGTCGACCTCCTTTGTAAATTCGTGTGATGTGAACCAGATACCGGTAATATGCCTCGACCTAGCAAATGTGATAACATCACGCTAAGCAGTGTTGCCAGGATTGAAGCTGCTCCCCTCAGTATAGCAGAATCAACCCTATGCTAACCAGAAGTGTCCTTTTTATGTGCTGCAGTTTCTGGAACACCAAGTCAGGTTCACTTTCGAAGGTCTCGTGCAGTTGCAGATGAAGATTTCGTCAGTATAGTTGATGTGGGTCGGTTGAAATGTCTGAGAGTACTGTTCAGCTGGAAGTTTAGCGGTGTCACCATCATTATTGGTCGGGCCATTAGGACCTATGTGGTGTTTGAATGGACTAATGATATTTTTGTACTGGTTGAATGTTTTGATTTCGAATTCTAAATACAGTACATTCGTTGTGTCTGTGTCTTCTTAGTTCAATTGCGTTAATCCTGGAATTCCTAGTTCATACTATAATTAGAATATTATATTGGCGTCGTGATGGAACCTGCAATGGAAAAGTTGGATATTCATTCAACTCCTGAAGATATTGAGGATTATTTGGAAAGGTTCGAAATTTGGAGCATGACAAAAGAAGATGATGAGGATGTTAATATTGTGGCACACTTTCTCACATTCATTGGGAGAGAAGCGTACAGCTTATTAAAAACTCTGGCATATCCAGAAAAACCTATCTCACTCCCTTATGAAACTCTTAAAGAGCTATTATTAAGTCATGTAAAATGCACCCGTTTTGAATGCCGTGAAAGGGCAAAGTTTCATAAGATGATCCGTCAAAATGACCAAAAGGCTCGGGAATTCATCCTTGAATTACAGAAACAAGCCGCCAAGTGTAATTTCGGTGATCAACTTCATGTGCAACTGAGAGATCGATTAATTGCAGGAATTAATATGCCGAGTTTGGAAAGAGAGCTGTTAAAAATGCCAAACTGTTCCTTTCAAGATGCTAGGACTGCGTGTATTAACTACGAAGCAGTGAATGAACTTGATATCCAGTCGATGAAGATTTCTGTTACTTTGCTTAGTCGTCATGATGAACTACAATCTCAGGGTCAATCAAATTTGCGTTCATTTAACAGTGATTCCTATTCTCGTGTAAATATGAAAGGTGTTTCAACAAGGAATTACAAAGCAAATCACAAAGGTGAGATGAAGTTTGGTAAATGTTTATCATGTGGAAAGTTTCATGCTCGCAATTCATGTATATTTCGTAATGCTAAATGTTTTAAATGTGGTAAGGTAGGACACATTCAGTCAGTATGCAAAGCTACTGTCCATTTTGCTTCAAGCTGTACTAAATCTTGTAATTTAAATTTCAATAATTCGGCTGTTTCTAATGATCATTTATCTTTATCAACGATTTCAAAAGACAGTGCAGAGTCATATGACAGTTCAGAGTTATATGAAATCCAGAATTCTTGTGAGGCAACAGTTCCTAATCAACCGATTTATCAGAATTCTCATGCTATTGTACCAGGTATGACTTTTCCTAATGATTCACATATTTCTAATGAAATTACTTGCAATTCTGAGGAAAATATGTTAAATGAACGTAATCATGATCGAAAATCTGATGTGGTTAGGATAGATGCTGGTTGTATACAATTCCAGATACTACAAAGTTTTTATCTTACACAATGTCGGACAGACTCAGAATGAACTTAACAAGAAGACGTACAACCGATTACAAACACTTATACTTCTATTTAAGCTGTGGCGGATGTGGTGTTTGAATGGACTAATGATATTTTTGTACTGGTTGAATGTTTTGATTTCGAATTCTAAATACAGTACATTCGTTGTGTCTGTGTCTTCTTAGTTCAATTGCGTTAATCCTGGAATTCCTAGTTCATACTATAATTAGAATATTATAACCTAGCAGTCGGGAAACTTCAGTTTTGGCTTGTCGAAGTGAGATTGCATAACAAAATAAGCTTCTCGGATTGAGGACAAATTCACCGATAACCTTTATCTGGTACTGAAGCCTGTGCTCTCTTATCGCCTTAGTGCATGTATTTCTTATATGTTTGTACTGCCTGTACACTACGTTGTTATGAGCTCGTTTGTATTCTGCCCAACAGTGCTTTTGGCGGCTTAGCAAATGAAGAGTGCGGTTCTTGATGACTGTAGGTTGCTTGTAGACTTTCAAGACCATTTGAGGAGCAGACGCCTTGTAGCACATAAGATCGCGTGCAGTAAAAAATCTCAATGAGCGTCAACATCTACTCTAGAGTGAATTTCCCAATCCAACTGTTGTACGTCATCCCGCATCGCTGACACATTCAACATTTTGAAGTTCCAGCGTCTATTGTTGGTGGGATGTCTTGCTGATAAAACTATAGGCCACGACGGTGCGATCCATCGGGCGGCTTGCCTGAATATCTGGGCTACTTGTTCCTTCCATCTGGATATTTAAGCACGTGAAATTCCATGTCCTGTTTATTTGTATAAGCCTTATGTGAATAGACAGGTAACCTACCTACACGGGGTTTTCCGATTTGGTAACCCCTCTCCTTTCAGCATTTTTCTTATGATTTAGACAGCCCACAAGTGGAATGGTCAGCACCAATTTGCCTTTGTACTTGGATGTGGCATCTTTTGACCTGTCCGAATGCATATGGATTCCAGTTGGCAACCGGCGTGTCGACACGAAACGCTTCCACAGTTGCAGCCGCCATATGGGAGGATGGAAATGTTATCTTCGTCAGCCGGGCCGCTTGCATGTATCCTTCATGACTATGGTGATGTCAATTGATTAAAAGATCCTTGCACAATTTTACAACCGTAAAATAGAAAAAACAGTACATTAAAAACATAAAAATGATAAAATCGGTTGATACGAAAGGTTAGAACAAACTAAAGCAACCCTTGACGTGAAAACCCAAAAATCGAATAGTAAGCTGAAGTAAAACCACAGTTAATTAATAACTTGAGTAAAACCCAAAAAGAAAAGTAATCTACATAACCTAAAGCTTATGACAGATTCTTTGGATCAAAAATGGAACTTTTGTTGCGTAAGGAAACAGCAAAGGTGTGAGAAATGCAAATCAGGTTAAGACTAAAATTCCCGTTCTTAAAGCGAACGGATAACTCAAAGATGGACGTCTCCTCAAATTACGAATCAGAAACTTGCAATACTCGGGATATCTTTGTTTCGCAACGACAGAAAAACAAGAATAAGCGTAGAATAGCAACATACCTACGATCTTGCTTGATAGCACATCAAGTGTTCATCTAAAGATGAAACGTGTATTGGGAATTTGACATCGCCTTTAC